GCTTTAGTGGAGCGGATTCTTCCTTGTTGTTTCCTGCCGTGTAACGGTATGGCGTAGAGATGGTAGTAGGCGTGAGTGCGAAGCGTTTGGCGATGGTATCGGCATATTTTGCGGCGTTGAGGTAGATCGCGCTTTCTCCTTCCTGGATATTGAGACCGAGGTACTGCGTGACGGTAGATGAGACTGTGAGCGTGAGGTCTTTCTGTAACTCCCCTTCGAACCAGGTAGTAACGTTGTCGGTCGACCCGATGTAGAGTAGATCATCTACGTAGACGATCAATAGAATGTAGTCGTCGCCTTTCGTGAGCCGGTACATGCCTTGGTCGTGCGGTAGCTGCTGGAATCCGATGCGAGTGAGTCGAGCGTGTAAGTACTGCTGCCACAGTCTCGGGGCCTGTTTGATCCCGTACGGGGATTTTTGCAGCTGACAGACTTGGTTGGGCTCTCCGTGGGAACCGTGTGGGAGTTCGACGTAGATTTCGGCGTCAACAGGTGCGTAAAGGAATGCATTGGCGACGTCGATTTGCCGTAGTTTCTTTTTCTTCATAGCGGCGATCGCGAGAAGAATCCGTAGTGAAGTGTGTCGGCTGACCGGAGCGAATGTCTCGGTGAAGTCATGTCCATGCTCTTGGTCGAAGCCGCGTACGACCCATCGTGCCTTGAACTTGTCAATGGTACCGTCTGCTTTCGTCTTCACACGGAAGACCCACTTCCCGGTGAGTATTGTCTTGTTTCGTGCCACGCCGATAGGGACAACTTTCCAGGTGTTGCGCTCCTTCAGTGCTTCGAGTTCCTTGTCCATGGCTTCCCAGAGCCTGCTGAACTGTGGCAGGCTCCTTAGGAGTTTCGGTGCCGTGGACCGCGGTGACTAGGCCGAGTATCTGAAGGCCACTCTGTGTGTAGCGGGGGAGAGTTGTGTCCGCGGGATAAGCTGCTTCGTCGCCTTTTTCTGGGTCAGGTATGAAGTTGGGCCCTATGCGTTCTGCTTCGTTGGTGTTGACTTCTGCAGGTGTAACGTAACCGGTGTCGGCGAGGTCGAAATAAGTTTCAGCGTTGACGCTTTCGCGAGGATTTTCGTCGTCCATCGGGATAGGCACGGAGCAGTATGGGAGTGGTCCTGCTTCTTCTGAGGCGTTATCCAGGTTCTGCTCGTCCCAGTCAGCTTCGTCTGCTGCCGAGGCGAAGGCTCGGTCACCACGGAAACCACCTGTGGGGTCCCGGTCTTCTGCCAGGTTGGCAAGGTATGTCGAAAGGGTGAGTCGTTCGTAGAAAATGACATCACGTGCTGCTACTGTTTCTTTGGAGTGGACGTCGAAAATCTTCCACGCGTTGTAATTTCTTTCGATGCCCAGGTGTAGTCCCCACTGTGCGCGTTGGGAAAATCGGCCGGCTCGTGCAGATGGGGGTCGGTACTGTACCATGCATCCGAAAACCCTTAACATTTTTGTGCTGCCTTGTTTTCCTGTCCACAGCAGGTGCGGTGATGCGTTGTTCGGTAGTGATGACGACGAAAGCAAGTTGTGCAACATGACAGCGTGGTCCATCGCTTCAGGCCACTGGTGATTGGGCAGTCGCATGCCACGCAGTAATTTGCGCATGGTGTTCTGGAGAGTTCGATTCATCCGTTCTGCCACGCCTTGCTGTTGATGGGCGTAGGGAAGCGAGATGAGCCTCTTGATTCCCCTTTCTGCCAAGAACTGCTTGAACCGCTGTGAGGTGTATTCTCCTCCTCCGTCTGACTGGAAGCTTTTTAGTTTCACGCCTGATTCTCGTTCTGCTACTGGGAGCCAAGCTATGAAGGCTTCGAAAGCCATGTCCTTGCTCGGAAGGTTGAGGTGCCAAACGTAACGCGTAGCGGCATCGATGAACGTGATGGTGTAGCTGTATGCTCCTTGTCCAGGTTCGCGATTGTACAGGATGTCGCTGTACACTTTCTCAAGTGGTGCGTAAGCTGGAGCGCTGGGGTTGTGGTGAGAAGTGAATGGCCGATGTGGTAAGTCAGCTTCGGGGCAAGTAAAGCACGTTCCAAGAGCTCGTCGAAGTTTGCTTCCATCGGTTCAAAGCAGTGAATCTTTGTCGAGTACTCCTGCTCTGATTGTATTGTTTAACACTGTGTTGCTTGGATGTCCCATTCGTGCGTGCCAGATGTCTTCGCTAGCGCGATGTCCGGGTGAGCGGTGATACAAGTCGGAGTTGGAGTAGAAGCTTGCGGTGAGGTTTGCACTTCGATGTACTTCTCGTGATGTTGGATTAAGCTGCTGCGCAAGAGTCGGTGAAGTGCCGTCGATTGGAACTGGTGTAGTTGAAGGACCAGCGATTGGCATTGATGTTGTTGTTGCTGCTGCTGCCGTTGTTTCTGCTGCTGTTGATGTTGTGTGTGCTGTTGCCGATGTTGTCTGGATTGTTGCTAATGCTCTTGTTCGTTCTGCCTCAGGGATGGTGTGCGAGTACCAGAAGCCTTCTGGACTGAAGTCGGGATCAAGATCCGGTGGGTGTGTCCAAGAGGTGAAAGTGACAATCCCGCCGCTGTCAGCAGTGCCAAGATCGGGGACGAAGTCGAGGACAAAGACATTGTTTTTCAGGACCGCCTTCCTGATGTAGAGACCGCCTTTCCCGTGGTATAACTTGAACTCTTGAGTTGTGCTATCTGCTTCAAGGTGTATGCCCTTCGCCATCAGTTGACTGACACTGAGTAAGTTGTAACCGAGTCCTTCTGCTATTAAAACCTTTGACATCTGAAGTATGACGTTTGTTTCTCGTGACTGAAGTTGCACTACGCCTTGTCGTCGTGTGCGCAGGTTCTGATTGTTGGCGACGGTGATGACGACCTCGCGTTGAAGTTGGTGTTCACGTTGAACAAAACGTCCTGAAGAGCACATGTGTTGTCCACAGCAGCTGTCCAAGAACCACGTATCTTTCCCGGATGGCTCGCTTTGAGCGATGGCTGCATATGTCGGATTGGTTGAAGTGACTCGCGGCGAGGCATGCTGTTGTCGAGTTGCTTTTCCGGTGAGTAATGTGGTGATGACTCTGTGATGCAGGAGTCGTTTAGCCATGTCATGCAACTGATGATGTTTCTTGTTCCTTGCGCAGATTGTCCCGTCGATGTTGTTGAGGCTTGTACTTGAGAGGTCGGAGTCGCTTGCGTTGAGGCGACTTGACTGCTTGAAGGGCGAAGTGGACGGTTTGGGCAGTGTGTACGGGGGTGGCCTGATGTCTTGCAAAGGTGACAGAACGGAGGTACTGGTTTCGGTTGATGCCAATAGTTGTTGTTGTTGTTGCGCCGTTGAGTGTGAAATGCGAATTCGGGCACTGATGCCTTCCTTTTGTGTCGTTCTTCTTGCAGGTCCATATCTTGCTGCTCAGCGTGGATCTCGGCGCAGAGTGCTGCTTCTGATATTTTTCCGTGGGCTCGGAGTATGGCGTGAGTGGAGCGCCACTGAGGACCGAGGCCGCCGATGATGACTGTGACGAAGGCGTCTTCTGAGATCGACCCTCCGCATCGAAGGAGTTTGTCGCGCAATTCGCGACAACGGCTGATATACGCCATCCCCTTTTCGCCTGGTTTCATTTCGACTGTCGTCAGTTGCGCCATTAACCGACTTTGATTTACGCTGTCTGTTGCTTGATACAGGTTCTTCAGGTGGTTGTACGCGAGCTCTGCAGAGTTGCCGTATCCCCGGTAAGACCGTATGTTCTGCTGCTAACGCCATCATTGACTGATACGTGTACTGCTGCTTATCGTACTGTGTGCCGTGTGTTGGATATGGCAGGGACCCGTCGAAGAAGCCAAGGATCTGCGCGCCTTCCATCATTAGCTCGAACTCGAATGACCAGGTAAAGAAGTCCTTTCCGTCGAAAGGCCTTGTCGTTTGTAGTTTTAAGACGTGCGCGAATTGCGACTGAACTTGAAGTGCGTCCAGTGTCTTTTCTTGTCCAGATGCGGGCTGCGGGTGTGGCATAAAGCTGACGGAGCCACGCTGGGGCTCGTACGGAGAAAAGATAGGCCGTTGCTGTTGATTTCCACGTGCGTAGGATGAACCGTCGAGGCTGTTGTTTGACTGTGCAGGTGCCCCTTGCTGGTGTTGTTTGTAGAAGGACATGAAGGAGAAGAACTTCTCCATCATGTCTTGATCGAAGGCCGCGGCTTGATTTGCGGGAGTTTCTGAAGATGTTGCTCTTGGCCTTGTTGCCGTACCCTCCTCTGTCTGTAGGCCAGAGGCAGGAGGTGGAGTAGCAGTAGTACCGGGAGAGCCGTTAGAGGAGCTTCTCTCCTTCTGCGTTGCCATGTTTTGTGATGTTGTAGGTGTCTTGATCGTAGTTGAATTTGTCCTGACTGCTCTCATACCATGTTGGGCTGAAAAGGCCCTTAGGATCTTTGCAGGACAGAATTCAAGGGTAGGACAATGTAATAGCGGAAGCGTTTAATAAAAGGATTGTGAACCACCTTGCGCTGGTAGGTGAGGGCAAAGTTGATTGATTAAAACAAAGATATACAAGCTTTTATAAGGATACAAGGAATATGAAGAGATACGGTTAATAACCGTTTTACTGTTGCTGTTGCGGTTCGATACAGTGTCGACTCGGGCAACTGCTCAGTAGCGAGTCAGTTGTTTGTCCTTGCTGTCGCGCTGCATTTGTCAGGTCAAAGGTCGCTGACCTTTGACTTTCGCGTAACCTCCAGCAGTTGTTCAACCTCCGAGGGTTGACTCGCTGATGCTTCGATATGTTTCGCTTCGCTTCTGTCTTGGTGTTTCGACACGACAGAGGCGCTTAAATCAATTGTTTCCAACAAATTTCTCACGTTACCGTGACCACGCTGGCTTCGCTATATATCCTTCGCTCATGCCTTCGCTCAATGTACTGTTTTGCTTCGATAGTGCAATTCTCGCTCGCTCGCTCAATTGCACTCGTAACACACAAGCAGCATACAATAAAGAAGATATAACCTTAATAACCAGCCAAACATACTCTCAGGTTGGAGGTAAACTCACAAGCCCTCAACCCGAATGCACCATGTGCTCTGCTCGCATCACATCAGTATCAATCGCTTTAGACCACTCCGGAAGCTCCCGAAACTCCAGAAAATGCGCAACAACCCCTAGAATCCGGGGATCTCTAAAATACGCCCCGTGATTCAAATCAAACTTACCCGTCAGCTCCTTAAACCTGTCCTCAATCATCACACATAGCTCCTTAATCTGCCGAACAAACTCCTGCGGTGTTAGCCGCGGGTTCCGCCACATCTTTTTTATGTCCGGCTCGAGACACTGGTAAGTAAGACACTTAGCAGCAGCCTCATCCAGCTCCTTATCGTCCCATAAATACTCGTACAGTAGTTGCTCCTCCCCATGCTTTCTACCCTCCATCGTACCCTCCACACTCCCCATTGCATACCCCGAGCTATCACCTCCCCCATCGTCCTCTCCTCTCTGGAACGCATCACCGTTCTTGGTCCTGCTCTCTTGCTCCTCATTCTCTGTCAGCTTTTGAGGCGCCTCAAAAGTCACCTTGTTCTTGGGCCTGCTGGTCTTCTCCTCTGTCCCTACCGGCTGTTTGGATTGGTATCCTTCCCCTCGTGCCTGAGTGTGAGAGTGAGAGTGAGTGTGAGAGTGAGAGTGAGAGTGAGTGTGAGTGTGAGAGTGAGAGTGAGAGTGAGAGTGAGAGTGAGAGGGGTCAGACGAGTACGAGGAGTCTTGACTTGTGTTGAGTGGGAGGAGAGGACGATCAGGAGTTACATCTCCGGCCGTTACATGTCCATAGGTTACATCTCCATGGGTTTCATCTGCACGGGTTTCATCTCCCCGGGTATCGTCTCCAAGTGTCCTCGCGCTCTTGAATGTAACTCGCCGCCGCAGCCTGCTAGCGCTGCGCTGCCATTGGCCAGCAGAGGCACTAAAAGACGGCTCTAAAATGGGGCGGTAGCGGCTTTCTTTGTCCTTTTCCTCCCCTTCCCCAGTGCCGCCTGCTACAGCTGGTGCCTCCTCTGGTGCTACTGGTGCTGCCCCCACACGCTCTGCCACCTTGTTCCCTGCAGATCCCAACCCACCCACAGCAGCCCCACCCACAGCAGCACCTACCTGCTGCACCCCGCGCCCATTCATCCTATCTCCCCCTTTCCCTTTCCCTTCCCCTTCCCGTTCCCTTCCTGAATCTATCTCCCCATTCTCTTCAACACCCTTATCCTTTCCTCCTCCTTCCCCCTTCATCCCCTCCCCTCCCCTCCCATCAGCCTTTTTTCCAGAACCCGACTTCTCAGGTATCCCCGTCCCAGCTAGCCCTTTCCCAGGTAACCCTTTACCAATTAACCCTTCCCCGAGTAACCCCTCCTCAAATACCGCCTCCCCCATGTCACAGGTGTCATCCTCATACCCCGCCATCAGCTCGCCCTGCAGCGACCGCGTCTTGGCAAGGGCCAGCAGTTTCTGCAATAGGGGGAGAGGGAGAGGGTAGGCAAGGAGGAGCGTAAAGGGTCAAAGTTGCCATTTTATGTTCTTACCCTGCCATCAGCTCGCCCTGCAACGACCGCGTCTTGGCCAGCACAAGCAGTTTCTGGAGAATAAAAGGAGGCGAGAGGCAAGAGAGGGAGGTGCGTGAATGGTCCCACTGCAAAGAGCGCCGTCTTGGCGAGGCAAGCATTTTCTGGAAGGAGGTGGGGTAAGGAAGGGGGTAGGCAAGGAAGGTGCCACAGCTGAAGTGTCATTCCCTCAACAGTGAGCGAGCGGTTTCTTCAGAAAGGGAGGAAATTTGGGTGTCCAAATTTGGGTGCAGCGTGAGCGAGCGGTTTCTTCATGGTGATCAACCGCTGCTGCAAGAGCCGTGTACCACCCCACTCCCCTCCTGCATCCCCACCCCTCTCTCACCTGCACGTTCCAGAGCTCCACATGTTGCGATGACAACCCCAGGTGCAGCACACATCAGTGCCTGCTGATTCACCTGGATGCTGCACGGAAAGCGCTTACACCCCCACCCCACACCACCCCACCCACCATCCGCTCACCTGCACGTTCCAGTGCTCCACGTGTTGGGAGGAGAGCCCCAGGTCGAGAATCTCGTCCATGAAGACATGAGCGAAGCTGAGCTCGTTCTGCGCGAGCCCGAAGCTGATCACCACAATCACGTTCCTCACCGCGCCTATCACCAGCGGCGCCACGATGTGTGACAGTAACGAGATGAGGAGTGCGGGGAGAATGAAGATGATGTTCCAGAGGAGGATGCGGCCGAAGGAGGCGAAGTAGAGGAGCCAGTCTAGAGGCACGGCGTCGTGAGGTGGGAACTGGGGGAGGGGCTTCCAGAAGGGCAGCTTCAGCATGTTCTCCAGGTGCGGGAAGACATAGGCTCGGGCGATAGGCTCGGAACTGAGTGCCAGGCTGGCCTGGTTTGGAGTGAGGAAGGGGAAAGCAGAGGGGAGAATCAGGAAAAGGGGATGAGAGGGTTGGAGGGGAAGTACCACTTCTGAGGGGAAGTACCACTTGTGAGGGGAAGTACCACTTCTGAGGGGAAGTACCACTTGTGAGAATTCTGGAGAGGAAGAACCCAAATGGCCTTCTCAATAGACTTCTGGAGGCAAACCCAAATGGCCTTCTCAATAGACTTCTGGAGGCAAACCCAAATGGCCTTCTCAATAGACTTCTGGAGGCAAACCCAAATGGCCTTCTCAATAGACTTCTGGAGGCAAACCCAAATGGCCTTCTCAATAGATGTAATGGCGTGCAAACAGATGGTTTGAGCAGCAACGGCATGAGAACCAATGGTTCCAGAAGACGTGGGATGAGAAGATGTGGGCAACAGTTGGTGACATTCAGTCTCTCACCTCATCCAGCAATCTCACCGCATCCAATCTCACTGCATCCAATCTCACTGCATCCAATCTCACCGCATCCAATCTCACCGCATCCAATCTCACTGCATCCAATCTCACCGCATCCAATCTCACTGCATCCAATCTCACCGCATCCAATCTCACCTCATCCAATCCCACCCCATCCAATCTCACCGCATCCAATCTCACCGCATCCAATCTCACCGCATCCAATCTCACCGCATCCAATCTCACCGCATCCAATCTCACCTCATCCAATCCCACCCCATCCAATCTCACCGCATCCAATCTCACCGCATCCAATCTCACCGCATCCAATCTCACCGCATCCAATCTCACCTCATCCAATCCCACCCCATCCAATCTCACCGCATCCAATCTCACCGCATCCAATCTCACCTCATCCAGCTTGCCAGCGTGGACGACCAGTGCTGACATGGCATGCGACCAATCAAAGTCGGGCGAGTGGTAGATGTTTCCGCTGTAGAAGGCAGTGCTGCGGGACACCTGGAGGGGGGAGATGAGGCGTGGTGCAGTGCGGTAAGCAGTGGTAGAACTGCAGTGATGAGTGGTTGCGGTAACCATTGGTAGATGTTTCCGTTCCGCTGTAGAAGGCTGTGCTGCGGGACACCTGGAGGGAAGAGGGGTGCAGTGCGGTGATGAGAGGTTGCATCAATAAGAAGAGAATTGAAGCTTGAAAAAGCAGGTCAGTCGGGCGATTGGTAGATGTTTCCGCTACAGAAGGCTGTGCTGCGGGACACCTGGAGGGGGGAGATGATGGGGACGAGAGGTACAGTGTGGTAATGAGTGGTTGCAGTTGTAAGAAGTCGCGGTAATAACAGGTGCTGCGGGAGAGATGGAGGGGGGAGATGATGGGAAGGCAGAGGAGGGGAAGAGAGAGGTTGTTACTCGGGTGGTGGGAAGGGTGAGAAGAGCAGGTGGGAAGAGGGGTGATAGGAGTGAGAGGGGTGTGAATGGTCAAAAGGAGTGCGTGGAAAGAGGAATGCAAACAGCCAGTCAAGCGATTGGTCAATGGTTCCTTCACACGTCCAATGCTGTGGCTATACAACACTTGAAAACACTTGAAAAACAGTCAGGCAAGCGATACAATGGTTCCTTCACACTTCCAATGCTGTGGCTTTTGAGTCGACTCAAAAGGCACAGCAGAATGTTAGAGAGATGGAGAGATGGAGGGATGCAAAAGCATGACGGAGAGATGGAGGGGGGGGGAGAGATGGAGGGGGGGAAAGAGATGGAGGGGGGGAAAGAGATGGAGGGGGGGAAAGAGATGGAGGGGGGGAAAGAGATGGAGGGGGGGAAAGAGATGGAGGGGGGGAAAGAGATGGAGGGGGGGAAAGAGATGGAGGGGGGGAAAGAGATGGAGGGGGGGAAAGAGATGGAGGGTAAGATGCGGTGCAGTGCAGTGGGAGCACACCTCGATGCTGACACTGATGGTGGCGAAGACAAGAATGAGCGCCGATGCAATTAATGGTGTCAGGTAGGGGGCTTCCACGCTGAAGGGGTTCAGTGCAGTAACATGCAGTGCCGGGCAGGGGAGGAGATGGGGGAGTGGAGAAGAAGCGATCAATGGCGGCAAGTAGGGGGTGTTCGCTCTGAAGGGGTTGAGTGCGGTAACATGCGGTGCAAGGGGGGGGAGAAAAGGGGGGTGGGGGAACAAGGCGATCAATGCCTCGACCATGCATGTCGTGTTGACCATGCGTGTCGTGTTGACCATGCATGTCGTGTTGACCATGCGTGTCGTGTTGACCATGCGTGTCGTGTTGACCATGCGTGTCGTGTTGACTATGTGTGTCGTGTTGACCATGCGTGTCGTGTTGACCATGCATGTCGTGTTGACCATGCATGTCGTGTTGACCATGCATGTCGTGTTGACCATGTGTGTCGTGTTGACCATGCGTGTCGTGTTGACCATGCGTGTCGTGTGGACCATGCGTGTCGTGTCGTGTGGACCATGCGTGTCGTGTCGACCATGCGTGTCGTGTGGACCATGCGTGTCGTGTCGACCATGCGTGTCGTGTTGACCATGCGTGTCGTATTGACCATGCATGTCGTGTTGACCATGAATGTCGTGTTGACCATGCATGTCGTGTTGACCATGCGTGTCGTGTTGACCATGCGTGAGGTGTTGACCATGCGTGTCCTGTTGACCATGCATGTCGTGTTGACCATGCGTGTCGTGTTGACCATGCGTGTCGTGTTGACCATGCGTGTCGTGTTGACCATGCGTGTCGTGTTGACCATGCGTGTCGTGTTGACCATGCGTGTCGTGTTGACCATGCATGTCGTGTTGACCATGCGTGTCGTGTTGACCATGCGTGTCGTGTTGACCATGCGTGTCGTGTTGACCATGCGTGTCGTGTTGACCATGCATGTCCTGTTGACCATGCGTGTCGTGTTGACCATGCGTGTCGTGTTGACCATGCATGTCGTGTTGACCATGCGTGTCGTGTTGACCATGCGTGTCGTGTTGACCATGCGTGTCGTGTTGACCATGCATGTCGTGTTGACCATGCGTGTCGTGTTGACCATGCGTGTCGTGTTGACCATGCGTGTCGTGTGGACCATGCATGTCGTGTGGACCATGCGTGTCGTGTTGACCATGCCTGTCGTGTTGACCATGCGTGTCGTGTTGACCATGCGTGTCGTGTTGACCATGCGTGTCGTGTTGACCATGCGTGTCGTGTTGACCATGCGTGTCGTGTTGACCATGCGTGTCGTGTTGACCATGCGTGTCGTGTTGACCATGCGTGTCGTGTTGACCATGCGTGTCGTGTTGACCATGCGTGTCGTGTTGACCATGCATGTCGTGTTGACCATGCATGTCGTGTTGACCATGCATGTCGTGTTGACCATGCGTGTCGTGTTGACCATGCGTGTCGTGTTGACCATGCGTGTCGTGTTGACCATGCGTGTCGTGTGGACCATGCATGTCGTGTGGACCATGCGTGTCGTGTTGACCATGCATGTCGTGTTGACCATGCGTGTCGTGTTGACCATGCGTGTCGTGTTGACCATGCGTGTCGTGTTGACCATGCGTGTCGTGTTGACCATGCGTGTCGTGTTGACCATGCGTGTCGTGTTGACCATGCATGTCGTGTTGACCATGCGTGTTGTGTTGACCATGCATGTCGTGTTGACCATGCGTGTCGTGTTGACCATGCGTGTCGTGTTGACCATGCGTGTCGTGTTGACCATGCGTGTCGTGTTGACCATGCATGTCGTGTTGACCATGCGTGTCGTGTTGACCATGCGTGTCGTGTTGACCATGCGTGTCGTGTTGACCATGCGTGTCGTGTTGACCATGCGTGTCGTGTTGACCCTGCGTGTCGTGTTGACCATGCATGTCGTGTTGACCATGCATGTCGTGTTGACCATGCGTGTCGTGTTGACCATGCGTGTCGTGTTGACCATGCGTGTCGTGTTGACCATGCGTGTCGTGTTGACCATGCGTGTCGTGTGGACCATGCGTGTCGTGTCGTGTGGACCATGCGTGTCGTGTCGACCATGCGTGTCGTGTGGACCATGCGTGTCGTGTCGACCATGCGTGTCGTGTCGACCATGCGTGTCGTATTGACCATGCGTGTCGTGTTGACCATGCGTGTCGTGTTGACCATGCGTGTCGTGTTGACCATGCATGTCGTGTTGACCATGCGTGTCGTGTTGACCATGCGTGTCGTGTTGACCATGCGTGTCGTGTTGACCATGCGTGTCGTGTTGACCATGCGTGTCGTGTTGACCATGCGTGTCGTGTTGACCATGCATGTCGTGTTGACCATGCGTGTCGTGTTGACCATGCGTGTCGTGTTGACCATGCGTGTCGTGTTGACCATGCGTGTCGTGTTGACCATGCCTGTCGTGTTGACCATGCGTGTCGTGTTGACCATGCGTGTCGTGTTGACCATGCGTGTCGTGTTGACCATGCATGTCGTGTTGACCATGCGTGTCGTGTTGACCATGCGTGTCGTGTTGACCATGCATGTCGTGTTGACCATGCGTGTCGTGTTGACCATGCGTGTCGTGTTGACCATGCGTGTCGTGTTGACCATGCATGTCGTGTTGACCATGCGTGTCGTGTTGACCCTGCGTGTCGTGTTGACCATGCATGTCGTGTTGACCATGCATGTCGTGTTGACCATGCGTGTCGTGTTGACCATGCATGTCGTGTTGACCATGCGTGTCGTGTTGACCATGCGTGTCGTGTTGACCATGCGTGTCGTGTTGACCATGCGTGTCGTGTTGACCATGCGTGTCGTGTTGACCATGCGTGTCGTGTTGACCATGCGTGTCGTGTTGACCATGCGTGTCGTGTTGACCATGCGTGTCGTGTTGACCATGCGTGTCGTGTTGACCATGCGTGTCGTGTTGACCATGCGTGTCGTGTTGACCATGCGTGTCGTGTTGACCATGCGTGTCGTGTTGACCATGCGTGTCGTGTTGACCATGCGTGTCGTGTTGACCATGCGTGTCGTGTTGACCATGCGTGTCGTGTTGACCATGCGTGTCGTGTTGACCATGCGTGTCGTGTTGACCATGCGTGTCGTGTTGACCATGCAGTGTCGTGTTGACCATGCGTGTCGTGTTGACCATGCGTGTCGTGTTGACCATGCGTGTCGTGTTGACCATGCGTGTCGTGTTGACCATGCGTGTCGTGTTGACCATGCGTGTCGTGTTGACCATGCGTGTCGTGTTGACCATGCGTGTCGTGTTGACCATGCGTGTCGTGTTGACCATGCGTGTCGTGTTGACCATGCGTGTCGTGTTGACCATGCGTGTCGTGTTGACCATGCGTGTCGTGTTGACCATGCGTGTCGTGTTGACCATGCGTGTCGTGTTGACCATGCGTGTCGTGTTGACCATGCGTGTCGTGTTGACCATGCGTGTCGTGTTGACCATGCGTGTCGTGTTGACCATGCGTGTCGTGTTGACCATGCGTGTCGTGTTGACCATGCGTGTCGTGTTGACCATGCGTGTCGTGTTGACCATGCGTGTCGTGTTGACCATGCGTGTCGTGTTGACCATGCGTGTCGTGTTGACCATGCGTGTCGTGTTGACCATGCGTGTCGTGTTGACCATGCGTGTCGTGTTGACCATGCGTGTCGTGTTGACCATGCGTGTCGTGTTGACCATGCGTGTCGTGTTGACCATGCGTGTCGTGTTGACCATGCGTGTCGTGTTGACCATGCGTGTCGTGTTGACCATGCGTGTCGTGTTGACCATGCATGTCGTGTTGACCATGCGTGTCGTGTTGACCATGCGTGTCGTGTTGACCATGCGTGTCGTGTTGACCCATGCGTGTCGTGTTGACCATGCATGTCGTGTTGACCATGCGTGTCGTGTTGACCATGCGTGTCGTGTTGACCATAGCGTGTCGTGTTGACCATGCATGTCGTGTTGACCATAGCGTGTCGTGTTGACCATGCGTGTCGTGTTGACCATGCATGTCGTGTTGACCATGCGTGTCGTGTTGACCATGCGTGTCGTGTTGACCATGCGTGTCGTGTTGACCATGCATGTCGTGTTGACCATGCGTGTCGTGTTGACCATGCGTGTCGTGTTGACCATGCATGTCGTGTTGACCATGCGTGTCGTGTTGACCATGCGTGTCGTGTTGACCATGCGTGTCGTGTTGACCATGCATGTCGTGTTGACCATGCGTGTCGTGTTGACCATGCGTGTCGTGTTGACCATGCGTGTCGTGTTGACCACGCGTGTCGTGTTGACCATGCGTGTCGTGTTGACCATGCGTGTCGTGTTGACCATGCGTGTCGTGTTGACCATGCGTGTCGTGTTGACCATGCATGTCGTGTTGACCATGCGTGTCGTGTTGACCATGCGTGTCGTGTTGACCATGCGTGTCGTGTTGACCATGCGTGTCGTGTTGACCATGCGTGTCGTGTTGACCATGCATGTCGTGTTGACCATGCGTGTCGTGTTGACCATGCGTGTCGTGTTGACCATGCGTGTCGTGTTGACCATGCGTGTCGTGTTGACCATGCGTGTCGTGTTGACCATGCGTGTCGTGTTGACCATGCGTGTCGTGTTGACCATGCGTGTCGTGTTGACCATGCGTGTCGTGTTGACCATGCATGTCGTGTTGACCATGCGTGTCGTGTTGACCATGCGTGTCGTGTCGTGTGGACCATGCGTGTCGTGTCGACCATGCGTGTCGTGTTGACCATGCATGTCGTGTTGACCATGCGTGTCGTGTTGACCATGCGTGTCGTGTCGACCATGCGTGTCGTGTCGACCATGCGTGTCGTGTCGACCATGCGTGTCGTGTCGACCATGCGTGTCGTGTTGACCATGCATGTCGTGTTGACCATGCATGTCGTGTTGACCATGCGTGTCGTGTCGACCATGCGTGTCGTGTCGTCCATGCGTGTCGTGTTGACCATGCGTGTCGTGTTGACCATGCGTGTCGTGTTGACCATGCGTGTCGTGTTGACCATGCGTGTCGTGTTGACCATGCGTGTCGTGTTGACCATGCGTGTCGTGTTGACCATGCATGTCGTGTTGACCATGCGTGTCGTGTTGACCATGCGTGTCGTGTTGACCATGCGTGTCGTGTTGACCATGCGTGTCGTGTTGACCATGCATGTCGTGTTGACCATGCATGTCGTGTTGACCATGCATGTCGTGTTGACCATGCATGTCGTGTTGACCATGCATGTCGTGTTGACCATGCATGTCGTGTTGACCATGCATGTCGTGTTGACCATGCATGTCGTGTTGACCATGCATGTCGTGTTGACCATGCATGTCGTGTTGACCATGCATGTCGTGTTGACCATGCATGTCGTGTTGACCATGCATGTCGTGTTGACCATGCATGTCGTGTTGACCATGCATGTCGTGTTGACCATGCATGTCGTGTTGACCATGCATGTCGTGTTGACCATGCATGTCGTGTTGACCATGCATGTCGTGTTGACCATGCATGTCGTGTTGACCATGCATGTCGTGTTGACCATGCATGTCGTGTTGACCATGCATGTCGTGTTGACCATGCATGTCGTGTTGACCATGCATGTCGTGTTGACCATGCATGTCGTGCCATGCATGTCGTGTTGACCATGCATGTCGTGTTGACCATGCATGTCGTGTTGACCATGCATGTCGTGTTGACCATGCATGTCGTGTTGACCATGCATGTCGTGTTGACCATGCATGTCGTGTTGACCATGCATGTCGTGTTGACCATGCATGTCGTGTTGACCATGCATGTCGTGTTGACCATGCATGTCGTGTTGACCATGCATGTCGTGTTGACCATGCATGTCGTGTTGACCATGCATGTCGTGTTGACCATGCATGTCGTGTTGACCATGCATGTCGTGTTGATCATGCATGTCGTGTTGACCATGCATGTCGTGTTGACCATGCATGTCGTGTTGACCATGCATGTCGTGTTGACCATGCATGTCGTGTTGACCATGCATGTCAGGGTTCAAACCGTGGTGGCTCGTGCGTACATTTCACGTGCAATGGCACTGCGAATGGCTAAGGAGACGAGCATGGCATAGCCCCACATCACATCACAGCCAGCTAGCATCACAAGCCTAGGACGCACCTGGGGGTGGTTTTTCTGTGCGTACCTTTCCCTGGGGTCATACCTGGGTGGCCTTTCTGTGCGTACCTTTCCCTGGGGTCATACCTGGGTGGTTTTTCTGTGCGTACATTTCACGAGCAATGGCGGTGCGAATGGCGAAGGAGACGAGCATGGCATAGCCCCACATCACAGCCAGCATCACGACAATACTCGCCACCGTCGCCAGCACGAGCCAGCGCACGCCATTGCGCTCCCACTTCTTGACATAGAAGGGAGTGCCCAGGAACACGAGGCAGCCCAGGGCGTTGGAGAGAGGGGAGGTGGCGAGGCGGTGGGAGAGGAACAGGCGCTCCCGCTTCACAGGCAGGCCCAGGAGGGAGTCTAGCCAGCGGTAGCGCCCCCAGGGGTACTGCTCCTTGATGCGCTGTGATACCTTGCTGCCTATCATGCTGTGGGGGCCAGGGTTAGACAAGAGGGGAGAAGGTAGGGCAAGGGAACAGCTTGAAGGGATGGACAAAGAGTAGGGATTCGAGGTAGCAGTAGCACGCCTAGGGATGTGATACAAGTGTTGTTTTGAGACGTCTCAAAACAACACTTTTATCATGTGGCTAGTACCTTTCCAGCTGTCATGCTGGCATGGGGGACGGAGGCAGGGAGGGAGGAAAGAAGCGGCTTGTGGCGGGGATGGCAGGCCCAGGAGGGAGTCGAGGCAGCGGTAGCGGCCCCAGGGGTACTGCTCTAGAATGCTCTGAGAGACCTTGGTGCCTGCCATGCTGTGAGAGAGGTGGCGGGGCATTGGCAGGGAAGTGATGAGAAAGTGCCAGGAGGGCGCCCAGGCAGTGGTAGCGCCCCCAAGGCTACTGCCCCTTGCTGCTCTGAGATACCTCTGTGTGGGCAGCCTGTGTTTGGGCAGCCTGTATGTGAGTGCCTGCCATGCTGTGAGAGGGGGGGCAGCGACAAGGTAGGAGGAGAGGAAGGGCTTGTGGCGAGACCTCTACTCTACCTATCTCTTCCCTTCCCATGCCCCACTGCCTCACACCTCGCCTTCCATCCCTCACGCCCTCACATGTGCAAAATAACTGCTGCCACCCACTACCAACCGCATATTCTCCCTTGCCAACCGCCACAAGCAGCGGAAAGAACCGTCGCCAATTGTTACCAACTGCAGTACCTCCCTCACATGGCCCTCTTACCTCCTCATAACAACAAGGGACGGGAAGAACCGCTGCCAACCGCTACCAACCGCATTACCTCCCTCACATGGCCCTCTTACCTCCCTCGCAATTCCAACAACAGATGGAAAGAACCAGCGTCACCCGGAGGGTCCGTCCACAGTCCACCTGCCATGCACTGCCCTGCACTGCCCTGCCCTGCCCTGTACTGCCCTGCACTGCACTGCACTCCACTGCACTGCACTCCACTGCACTCCACTGCACTGCAAGAACCGCAGCCAACCTCTTTGAAACGCAAAGCCGCCTCACCTTCTCATGACCACGAGGGATGGGAAGAACCAGCGCCACCCAGAAGGCCAGTCCACCTGCCGCCACCTCTTGATCGTATCAAATCTTCGCCTGTATGCCGCCCAAAAGCGCTTCCTGATGGCCGGGTGCAGTGTGGAAAGAGACAGTGTGGGCAGCCTCTTCATGTACTGGCGGGGGGGAGGGGGAGAGAGGGAAGGGATGCAGATGGGTGCTGTTAGTGCTGATCCTGATGGCCAGGTGCAGCATGGAGAGCGACTGTGTGGGCAGCCTCTTCATGTACTGGCGGGGGGGGGGAAGAGGGAAGGGGTGCAGATGTGTGCAGATGTGTGCAGATGTGTGCAGATGTGTGCAGATGTGTGCAGATGTGTGCAGATGTGTGCAGATGTGTGCAGATGTGTGCAGATGTGTGCAGATGTGTGCAGATGTGTGCAGATGCTGTCAATGTTAAACAGGTGGGCTGCGGAGGTCTTATGTCCATCAACTTAAACTATATCTTAGGACGATGAAGCAAACTCCATGAAATGAAAAAATGAAAGAGCCTGGAAAGCTTGTGAGCTAGAGCGTATGAGAGAGCCAGAATGAACAAAAATATACTTTCTACATGTGTGCAGATGGGTGCAGATGTGTGCAGATGTGTGCAGATGGGTGCAGATGTGTGCAGATGTGTGCTGTTACTGCTCATCCTGCGGCATGCCCAGGTGCAGGGCGCCACTGAGACGCACACCCACTTCCGCACGGCGCCTCCATCCGAGGGGTCGACTTTTGAGTCGACTCAGATTCCCCAATGAAGAACGGGGCTTTAAACAGCTCCTAGCCTGCTCATTGGATTCAACCACCACTCACCAGCTCGATGCCTGTGAACCTGGGCTTTAACTGTGCGTTCAACCCAGGCCAACTCAATACCTGGGCTTTAAGCAGCACTCACGAGCTCGATGGCTTTAAGCAGAACGTTGCCTCCGTGGGAGTGAGCAATCACGTGAATGCGCGCCGATGGGTCCCTCCGAGCAATCAGGTCGAACAGCTGTGCCAGCTGTGTTGAAGAGGAGAGGGGAGGCGGGGGAGGGGAGGGGAAGTAAGCAGGGGAGAAAAGCAGGGAGTGAGCAACGGTGTGAATGGGTGCAGATCTTTGGACATGATTCCAGTGAGCAGCGCTTGCTTAGGAGCAGGTTTAAGCAAGCAGGAAAAGACAGTACAAGTGCAAAAAGCAGGGGGTGAGGTGAGCAACGGTGTGGATGGGTAGACAGCAAGGAGTCAGTGCGAGCTATGGTATGAGGTCAGTCAAAACAGTGCGCGCTACCAGGGCGGCCCAAAGGGGAGAATGAGCAACAACAACGGCGTTGCCAATGGAGGAGAATGGGCATATGGGCTGCCAGGGGAATGGAGAACACTTTGAAAATTCTCAACTATATGGAAATCACGTTCGAGAATTCTCAAAGGAGAATGGGCATATGGGCTGCTAGGGGAATGGAGAAGCGAGGGGTGAGGGTAGGTGGGGTGGTTCGGGGAGATGGGGAAAGGTTGGGAAAGAGAGCAGGGGAGGGAGGTGGGACGGGTGAGAGTGGGGGTGAGGTTGAGGGTGCGGGAGGAGGGAGGGGAAGAGGGAGAGGGTGGGGGAGGGGGTGGGGTGGAGGTTAAACGGGAGAGTGAGAAACGACAACGACGTGGATGTGAGCTATCCCTGCCTTTCCCCATCCCTGCCTTTCCCCCTCCCTGCCTTCCCTCCTCCGCCGTCTTGACACGTCCCTCGTGTGTGTTGTTGCCTCTGCACTCTTTGGTTCTCCCTGCCCTCACCTCCTCCCTGCCTCCCATTCTCCCTGCCCTCACCTCCTCCCCTGCCTCACTTATTATGCCGCCTTTACGCTTCCCCCGTGCGTGTTGCTGCTTCAGCCCTCATTCATTCGTACCTCCTCCCTTTCTCCCTGCCCTGCTTCCTCCCTGCCTCACCTCTCCCCTGCCTCACCTTTTCTGCAGCCTTCACGCGGCCCTCGTGCGTGTTGCTGCCGTCCCAGAAGAACGGGTAAGGCACGTCGCCGTCCATCATGCGCTGCCATGACTCCCCCCCCTGCGACGCCGCCTCCCATGACTCCCCCCCTTGCGACATCGCACCTCCCTGCGACTGTCCCCTCTGCGACTCGCTCCCGTGAACCTCAGATCCCTGCGACTCTGCCCCTTGTGAATCCGTCGCGCGCGGAATTTCTCTCCACACGCTCCCCGCGCCGATGGGCCCGCGCGCCAGCAGCGCGCCCATCTTGGCGCAGAAGTTCTGCTCCCCGGGCGCGGGCGGCTGGTACCACGTGCGCGCGCCGTCCGCGGGCGGCGCGTCGAACGTGCCGTGAACGACGATCACGTAGTCCGTCTCGCGCCGCGCGTTGTGATCCACCGTGCGAACTCGCAAGCCTCCCACCTCGGCGTCGCCCGTGACCGTGGATGTGTCGCAGGCGACGTCGCCGGCGTCGTCCGAGCGAGAGCTGGCGACGTCGCCCGAGTCATTTTCGGCCGCCAGTCGTCGAAAGTCGTCGACATGATGTACCTCCCGCGGTTCACGTGGCATTTCCAAGAAAATGAGACCGCGCTGCGAAGTGCCGAGCGCGCCGGCGCTGGAATCGCATGCGGAAATACTAGAAAATACACACTACGAGCGGTTCGGACGGAACTTATATGATATGAGTTCGTTTAACGGGAGTTACGTAATACGGTCAACCACATTCGGCAACGGTATCTGGTTTAATTAAACCGGTGAGCATATAGCTGTTTTTTTAAGTTATAAACATATACATGAGTGTTCTTGAACCCCACCCATCTGACATTCTCTGACAACCGTCAAAAAAATTGTGTCGAGCCGCTTCTGTTGACGGACGGATGTCGTCGACCCTGTCACGCCACCTTATGGTGCCCCTTTTCAGAAGACAGGGCACTGACGGATGTCGACGGAGATACACACGTCCGTATGTACACAATTTTCCGGGTACTGTCACTTCCGGTCTGCGAATAGGTAAAAATAAAAAAAACGAACTGCGATATGCTGCCTAAACGCGAAGGGCATAATACGACTACAAACGAGTGAATGCCTGGTTTTTATGGAAGCAGAGACCGCCTGTTGTTATTGCTAGCACTTTCTCAGGATAGTGGAATCGATTGATATTGTGGCATTTGGTAACCCATGAATGTATGGTAACTCCATGTTGGTATAGGGAATGACATGCAACTATCGGAGGAATCAACCCAAAATCCCCATAGGGAATGACATGCAACCATGGAAATCATCAACCCTATATATCTTGTTGCATGGTGTTGAGGATTGACGCCTCCCTCGGATGGCATTTCATTGGAAATGACATCACTATTTTCTTCTTCTTCGCTCGTGGGTCAGGCGACGATGGTCTACGAAAACGACGGTCCCAGAAAAATCAGACCATGGTTGGTTTTTGCGTTTCTCATGGACCGATTCAGCTGTACGTTGGGGTATATCTAATGGTATGCTGTAAAAAGGGTACAATAGTAAGGTGCGTTGTAAAAGAATGTATATTAGAACTGATTAATTCTTTACCTTGCATTCTCCCTACATCATGCCGACTTTCCCAAACCGCTAACTCCTCACATCAACTGTCCCAGTTAGGAAGTCTCGACTCCTCAGTCTTTTCCCCCAGCTGAGTAGCAACCACGGCTTCTCATTGCTGAGCCGTGCCACGAACCATATCGGACTTGATAGTAGAACCAACCTCTGCCAGAAGCATTACCTACCCACAACTGCCAGTTTAGGAATTCGTGTATCTTGCTATCATCGAGTCCGATTGCAAAGATGATTGCAAGCTCAAACGTTCTTAGTTGCTGATGAGTCATCAGTGCAGCTACGTGATAAAATGTGATCTTCTTAGACGTCTCAAGAAGTTTCTGAAGAGTCATCGGTGCACCTGCTGAGCGGGACAATTGAGCAGCTCAGACGCTCTTAGTTTCTACTGTCATTCTTTTTATTCTGTAGTGTTTTACTCTATAACTACTACCTCTACGATTTTTCTTTACCTTAATTTACCGTGCGACTCCGGCGCCGACGCGTTCACCATCTCCCCGGCGCGGATTCATTTTCTTGGAAATGCCGCGCGAACCGCGGGAGGTACATCATGTTGACGACTTTGGACGACTGGCGGCCGAAAACGACTCGAATAACGTCGCCAGCCAGCTGAGCTTTTGCCCGGATGACGCCGGTGACGTCGCCTGCGACGCATCCGCGTCGACGAGCGACGTCGAGGCGGGCGTGCGAGTTCGCACGGTAGATTACAACGCGCAGCGGGAGACGGACTATGTGATCGTTGTTCACGGCACGTTCGACGCGCCGCCCGCGGACGGCTCGCGCACGTGGTACCAGCCGCCCGCGCCCGGGGAGCAGAACTTCTGCGCCAAGATGGGCGCGCTGCTGGCGCGCGGACCCATCGGCGCGGGGAGCGTCTGGCGGGAAATTCCGCGCGCGACGGAATCGCAAGGGGCAGCGTCGCAGGGAGGTGCATCGCAGAGGGGGTCGCAGTCGCAGGGAGATGCAGTGTCGCAGGAGGGGGGGCAATCATGGCAGCGCATGATGGACGGCGACGTGCCTTACCCGTTCTTCTGGGATGGCAGCAACACGCACGAGGGGCGGTTGAATGCTGCAGAAAAGGTGAGGCAGTGAGGAGGAAAGGCAGGGAGAATGGGGAGGTAGGAAGGAGATAAAATTCGGGTCGAGGCTGAGGAAGCAACACGCACGAGGCGCGGTTGAAGGCGGCAGACAAGGTGAGGCGTGGAGACTGAGAGGCAGGAAGAAGGTGCGATTGGGAGAATGTGCGGCACGGTTGAATGCGGTTGAAAATACGAGGCATTCTTTAACGTATGCACGGTGCAAAATGAGCCAAATTGTTAAGTTCAAACGATTTATAAAATGGGGAAAAAAAATCCAGAAATTATTTGCCACCTGATTTAGTGGTTCTTCTGGTTCGTCCAGACCTTTTCCCTCCCTTGGAATTGGCCGAATCCTTCCCTCTGAGCTTTTCTCTTGCTCAATCTGTTTAGAGAGAATTCTCAAGAAACAGATTCCATCCCTCTGAGGTTTTCTCTTGCTCGTGCCATCCCCTCTTCTCCACGTTCCCTTTCTCTCCTCTCCAGCACCTCCTTACCAATGGTTCCACCTGATAACTCACACCCACCCCTCTCCGCGCATGCGCGTCCTCGTTGCCCATTCCCCTGGCGTCCCCCCCGTTTACTCCCCCATTGCTCATCAAATTCCCCTCTCCCTGATAGCTCGCACCGACCCTTCTTTGAGTCAACTCACAAGCTGCCCTGGTGCGGTCCCCCATTTGTCCCTCCCTCTCCTCCTCATCACAGCTGGCGCGGCTGTTCGACCTGATTGCTCACAAGGACCCATGTATTTCCCCTCTCCCTTATCCTGCTCCCCCCCAACCCCCCCTCTCCCCTCCCCTCCCCCTCTTCCTCAACACAGCTGGCGCGGCTGTTCGACCTGATAGCCCACAGGGACCCATCGGCACGCGTCCACGTGATCTCTCACTCCCATGGAGGCAACGTGCTGCTTAAAGCCATTGAGCTTGTGAGTGCTGCTTAAAGCCACTGAGCTCGTGAGTGCGAGTTAAAGCCCAGGTGTGTTGATCAAAGCCCAGATTCAATTGGTGCAACGTGCTGCTTGGTGAGTGCTGGTTGAAGCCTGCCCAGGTGTTCAATTGCGAGCATAGATTAGTTAAAGCCCAGGTGCGCAATTGATTTGATCTGTCAGTTGGTGAAACCTGCTGTTCAAAGTCGTTGAGCTGGTGAGGGCTTGTTGCTGAATTGGTGATTTTTTTTCGGGCGCCTCAAACGACGATTTTGGGGTGCCTCAAAAGTCCTTGAGGTGGCGAGGGCTTGTTGTTGAATTGGTAACTTTTGGGTCAAGCGTCTAAAGTCACTTCCACGGAGGCAACGTGCTGCTTAAAGCCATTGAGATCGTGCGCGCGAGATACAGCCCAGGTCCTTTATTTGTTCACCTGAATCAGCATTGAATGAGTGATGGTAGTGAACACTGCTACATAACCAAGAAAATTGCCAGAAACTGCAATCCATGGCCAGAGGTAGAATAAATGGCGTTATTCAGCCTATTCATGCTGTTGATACTCAGTAATTGCCAATAATGTAATCAGCTAATGCTTAAAATGAGTGTGTGACGTTTGAATTGAGGTTGAAGCTTAGAAAGCCTACAAAATAAAGGCTTGTCAAGGACTAGAGTAGAAGCAGTGGTTTAACTGAACTGAAGAGAGCAGCAAATTAAATGAGACAAGTGGGGAACGTGCTGCAAGCCTCTGTATTGGGAGGTCTTGCAATCGCCACTGATTCACATAATGAAACAGCTGGATGGTCTAAAAGGCCCCATATTAGATGGCAACGCCTAGCCTTTCGTAGAAGCCTTTCCAGCAAGCGCGCTTAGAATATCAGGGAACTTCTAAGCACTTTTCTTTTCGTCCGAGTTACTTGCTATCTCGTATCCCTTTCTCCCCCTCTCCCCCTCTCCCCTTCACCCTCCACGCTACTAACCACCCTATTAACCCCTTCAAACTCCCCCCTTCCCTCTCCTTCCCTCACCTTCCCTCACCTTCCCTCTCCTTCCCTCTCCTTCCCTCTCCTTCCCTCTCCTTCCCTCTCCTTCCCTCTCCTTCCCTCTCCTTCCCTCTCCTTCCCTCTCCTTCCCTCTCCTTCCCTCTCCTTCCCTCTCCTTCCCTCTCCTTCCCTCTCCTTCCCTCTCCTTCCCTCTCCTTCCCTCTCCTTCCCTCTCCTTCCCTCTCCTTCCCTCTCCTTCCCTCTCCTTCCCTCTCCTTCCCTCTCCTTCCCTCTCCTTCCCTCTCCTTCCCTCTCCTTCCCTCTCCTTCCCTCTCCTTCCCTCTCCTTCCCTCTCCTTCCCTCTCCTTCCCTCTCCTTCCCTCACCTTCCCTCTCCTTCCCTCTCCTTCCCTCTCCTTCCCTCTCCTTCCCTCTCCTTCCCTCACCTTCCCTCTCCTTCCCTCTCCTTCCCTCTCCTTCCCTCTCCTTCCCTCTCCTTCCCTCTCCTTCCCTCTCCTTCCCTCTCCTTCCCTCTCCTTCCCTCTCCTTCCCTCTCCTTCCCTCTCCTTCCCTCTCCTTCCCTCTCCTTCCCTCTCCTTCCCTCTCCTTCCCTCCACCCCCCATTCCCATCTGCACCCATCTGCATCCCTTCCCCCATTCCCCCCACCAGTACATGAAGAGACTCCCTACAGTGTCTCTCTCCACGCTGCACCCAGCCATGCAGCAGGATGAGCACTAACAGCACCCATCTGCACCCATCTGCACCCCTTCCCCCATTCCCCCCACCAGTACATGAAGAGACTCCCTACAGTGTCTCTCTCCACGCTGCATCCGGCCATCAGGAAGCGGTTCTGGGCGGCATACAGGCGCGGATTTGATATGGTGAAGGGGTGGCGTCAGGTGGACCGACCTTCTGGATGGCGCCGGTTCTTTCCGTCCCTTGTTGCTATGCGGAGGTGAGGTGGGGGTAGGCGGTTCTTCCAGTCCTTTGTGGCCATGAGGAGGTGAGAGCATGAGGAGGTGAGAGCATGAGGTGAGAGCGTGAGGAGGTGAGAGCATGAGGTGAGAGCGTGAGGAGGTGAGAGCATGAGGAGGCGAGAGCATGAGGTGAGAGCGTGAGGAGGTGAGAGCATGAGGAGGTGAGAGCATGAGGTGAGAGCGTGAGGAGGTGAGAGCATGAGGAGGTGAGAGCATGAGGTGAGAGCGTGAGGAGGTGAGAGCATGAGGAGGTGAGAGCATGAGGTGAGAGCGTGAGGAGGTGAG